TGACCATCACTGTTAGGTGTGGTTGCTTGTGCTCCACAGGAAAGGAGAGTTTTGAATTAGGTTTATGATTTGTCAACATTTGTCATTAGTGATGAACTTGTCAAGTGATTATTGGAAATCACAACTCTTTCTCTTCTTATGTTTGATTAATAGCAATGTCTTTATTTAGGATAGTTAAATCCTCTTTTCAAAGAATTAGTACCCTTATTACATCAAACTTAACATTTAATCCAACAAGAAAATCACTTTCAAGAAATCTTTTAAGGATGGTCGTCTCTTTATTGCATTCCATATGGATGCCTTGATGATGATTCATCCCTTAACAAAGGCCTTCTAGTAGATTAGAGTATTTGTAATTGATCTTCTTTCTTGCTTTGTGGCTGAGAACTTGGTTTTGAACTCATGAATTTGAGCCACATCACAGAATTTATAATACATTTGATTTATCATATCCCAATTATCCTTTACTGAATTAATGAACATACATGTGTCACGTATTTTATAAACCAAGAAGTTCCATAACCAGGACATCGCTATAGAGTCATGTTCATCCCAAGTTTTGAATATAGGATCGCTTTGCTGAGGTCTCATGCCAGGTGAACACTTAAGATAATTCTATCCATTCAAACGATATGTTGAATGGATATTTTGCAATTCTCCCATTGAATTTGGGTAGCTAGTGATGTAGAACGAAAATGCTTTAAGTCCGCTTCCCAAAATCTGAAAACAGTTTCAGATTTTGATCCAAAAATTCTGAGGACAGCAGTTTTCTGCTTCCTTACAGTCTAGACAGCAACTTGCAATGTTGGGGAACACCCTGGACAGCTTCTATAAAGCATTAGGAACTTTGGACCACCACGTATGGAGGCTGGGAGCCCTTGGGCAGCAGGTAGTGGCCTTCAAATGCTTAGGATGCAAGCCAATGGCAGAGAATTTCGGCCAGCAGGGAATACGGGAAGGAAATTTTGTCAAAGTAATACGTTGCAAATCTGGATAGATTTCAAAGGCAATTTAATAAGGGGATGGGGCCAGCGGTAGGGGGAGTTGGGCGGTGGAATTATTTCCTAAATCCTTTGTTTGATTTTAGGAAAGTAATTAGAGTTTATTCCTTAAGAAAATTTCGGCTGTTGAGGTGGGGAAATAAACTCTTTTCTTTTAAAAGGAAAGGAGACTTATTGTTAGGAAATATTTCCTAAACTAAGCGAACAGGATATGAGGCCGGCAGATTGCATGAAACAGGGAATTAAATGGATTTAAATTCATGTAATTAACCTCCATAGATTAAGGAATTAATTAGTAGAGTAAGGCAAGGGAAATTTCGGTTATGAAGGGGATTTTGAATTATTTTCTAAATCTAGGATTGATTTAGGAAATAATTTGAAATGGGATTTAATGAGGCTAATTAAACTTCAATTTGAATTTAAAATTCAAATTGATTTCAATTAAGCACTTTCCAAAAATAGATGAACCAAATTATGAAAAAATTTGAAATTTGAATTTGAATAATTTCAAATTCAAATTAATCCCTAAATTGACCCAACAAAATTAGGAAATCCCAAAGAGGGTGGGAGGAGTTCGGCCGGCGACTAATGAGGTGGAGCCGGCGGCATGGTGGAAAAGGAGACGATGGCTTGGAGATGGAGAAGATGAAGGTGGACGTAGGTAGAGGATGAAGATGAAAACTAGGAACAATAAAAAGGAACAAAAACAAATAAACAAAATATCAAAGATACAACTGCGAGCCCGGACACATCCTGCGGCTGACGGGTACTACGTTGCCCTTCTCCAAGGGACTTCACGCCACGAGCCCGGACCCATCCTGCGGCTGGTGGAAACTCCGACTCCCTCCCATAGGGATTTCGCTAACGTTCTTCCTAAAGAACCCAAGTGCAAAACGCAAATTTTTTTTATTAATAATTCATCATCCTAATACAAGAGAAGGGGTCTCTGTATATAGGCCTCAAAAGAGATTTAAAAGACACATTTGCCCCTTGTGCTTTTACATAAGATAAGAGGGTAAGAAAAGAAATTGCAAAACTAAAATACACTTAATAAACGAAAATAAAACAAAGTGATCTCGGTCGTCGATCTTCAGCTCCTCTGATTGGCATGGACGGTTGGATGTCTGCATCATTCTCCCGGGGTGGAAAAGGCTCGACTCCGTCGAGTTAGCGTCCCGGGTGAGCAACCATGCTCTGATACCAAACTGATGTAGAACGAAAACGCTTTAAGTCCGATTCCCAAAATCTGAAAATAGTTTCCGATTTTGATCCAAAAATTCTGAGGACAGCAGTTTTCTTCTTCCTTACAATCTAGACAGCAACTTGCAATGTTGGGGAACACCCTGGACAGCTTCTATAAAGCATTGGGAACTTTGGACCACCACATATGGAGGCTGGGAGCCCTTGGGCAGCAGGTAGTGGCCTTCAAATGCTTAGGATGCAAGCCAATGGAAGAGAATTTCGGCTGTGAGAATTTTGGCCAGGAGGGAATACGGGAAGGAAATTTTGCCAAAGTAATACGTTGCAAATCTGGATAGATTTCAAAGGCAATTTAATAAGGAGATGGGGCCAGCGGTAGGGGGAGTTGGGCGGTGGAATTATTTCCTAAATCCTTTGTTTGGTTTTAGGAAAGTAATTAGAGTTTATTCCTTAAGAAAATTTCGGCTGTTGAGGTGGGGAAATAAACTCTTTTCTTTTAAAAGGAAAGGGGACTTATTGTTAGAAAATATTTCCTAAACTAAGCCAACAGAATATGAGGCCGGCAGATTGCATGAAACAGGGAATTAAATGGATTTAAATTCATGTAATTAACCTCCATAGATTAAGGAATTAATTAGTAGAGTAAGGCAAGGGAAATTTCGGTTATGAAGGGGATTTTGAATTATTTTCTAAATCTAGGATTGATTTAGGAAATAATCTGAAATAGTATTTAATGAGGCTAATTAAACTTCAATTTGAATTTAAAATTCAAATTGATTTCAATTAAGCACTTTCCAAAAATAGATGAACCAAATTATGAAAGAATTTGAAATTTGAATTTGAATAATTTCAAATTCAAATTAATCCCTAAATTGACCCAACAAAATTAGGAAATCCCAAAGAGGGTGGGAGGAGTTCGGCCGGCGACTAATGAGGTGGAGCCGGCGGCATGGTGGAAAAGGAGACGACGGCTTGGAGATGGAGAAGATGAAAGTGGACGTAGGTAGAGGATGAACATGAAAACTAGAAACAATAAAAAGGAACAAAAACAAATAAACAAAATATCAAAGATACAACTGCGAGCCCGGACACATCCTGCGGCTGACGGGTACTACGTTGCCCTTCTTCAAGGGATTTCAAGCCACGAGCCTGGACTCATCCTGCAGCTGGTGGAAACTCCGACTCCCTCCCATAGGGATTTCGCTAACGTCTTCCTAAAGAACCCAAGTGCAAAACGCAAATTTTTTTATTAATAATCCATCATCCTAATACAAGAGAAGGGGCCTCTATATATAGGCCTCAAAAGAGATTTAAAAGACACATTTGCCCCTTGTGCTTTTACATAAGAGGGTAAGAAGGGAAATTGCAAAACTAAATTAAAATACACTTAATAAACGAAAATAAAACAAAGTGATCTCGGTCGTCGATCTTCAGCTCCTCTGATTGGCATGGACGGTTGGATGTCCGTATCAGCTAGTCTTGGTCCCAACAAACCTAAAACCAAGGGAACATGAGCATTTTTGTGATCAATGGGCAGGAAAAATGAGGCAGCATTTAGTTGCAAAGAGAAAGAGGGCTAGAAATAGGCTATGGCAGTGAAAGCTACAAATGAGAAAGTAGGTGGAAAGAAAAGAAACTTGTAGCAAGTTCTAGGCAATAAAACGATAAATGCTACTGCTTATAAAAATGTTAAGAGAAAACCTAAAGCTTTGATATCAAAAGTTCAAAACAAAATTGGAGAAAACTGATTGAGTTTCATTCCAACACTTCTCCAGTATTTATACAATACTCTAGGAACTTCTAATATGAAATATATAAAACAAAGGAATAAAATTTAGATAAACAATTAATTACAATAAAATAGTCCACTCGTATTGGTAAGATGACATCCACTAGCACATTAATAAATGAGGTGTCATTGGACTAAAGAAGGGAAAAGGAGTTGGAGTGCTTAATCGATGGCTAATGGAAATGGATGTTGAGCGTGATGTGAAGCAGAATAGTAGGGAGAGAAAGACTAGTGGAGTGCTAGCTGGATGCCAATCCATAGGATAGATTTTTGCAAGAAAAAAGTATGCAAGAATTGATTTACCGAATTGACATTTTCATAGACAAATTCACAGGCGAGTTTTAATAACCTCAGCCTGAGTATATAATAGATGTGTCAACTGTCAAGTATCTTCGATGACTTGCACTTATGAGTTTATTAGCAAGTTCATCATATATTTTGGCGATTTCAACTTTGTGTCAAGTTAATTTTTTTAATTGGAGGCTTGCTTGAACCCAGTTCATGGTAACAAGTGTGGCTTGATGAACATGGCCATTTGACATTGGATACCTGTTCCTTTTCCCATTTCATGTAGATGCAGAAGCATTTACTCTAACCATGGAAAAGCTGAAGGACTTTAGCGTATCAACTATCAACAAGTATTTACTTTGGGGCTGTCTGGTTCGGAGGGAACTGTGTGCAACTGAAAGGAATACTTGAATTCGTTTCCCTAGAAACTAGAATTTACGATAAACAACATGGTGAAACTTGTCTATGCCTTCTTTGCATCATTTGCTTTTCTATTATATATTGACTAATGCATTTCAAAGAAAAACAATTACAGGGAAAACAAGCGCATTGCATCCGCATAAGTAATTATACGTTATAGAAACTGCAAATAACCTCGAGGTGAAAATTCAGAAACTGTGAATTCATGCAACCAAACAGCCCCGCGATGGATATCATCAAGTGATGCAATAAGCACTAGAACAATTCTCTCAACAAAGATAATGCAGCCAAATTCAACTTACCGCCATCCCTGAAGCCTTCTCGCTGGCATCACCATTATATCGTATCATGGTGCTCGTATTTGTATAGAACTGGTGAACCAAATTTGGCGTTTGTTGAAGAAAAGGATAGTACTGCCCCAGAAAAAAAGACCCAACCTAAAAAAGGAGGCAGAAAATTAGTGGGGCGTAGTAAACTACAATCAGAAATTCGAAGACGCGGAGACAAAGTTGCCTTTCTGCCTTCCTGCCCCGGCCAATTCGATTACCTGAGCGGCACTGACCTGCCCTGGAAACGCAGACGCCATTGTCAACCTTCTAAACGAGCATGCAAGGATATGGATCCAAACTCCAAAGACCTGGCCCCGTGAGCTCTTCCCTCCTCCCGAATCCCTAGATCCGATGAACTGCCAGAGAAATCGGCGGTCCTCTATTAAGATCCACAGCAAAAGCCAAATCGATCCGTTCGTCCCTCAGATTACAAGGAGGAGAGAGAAGCTCAAGGAGACCTCGGATTCCTCTCAAAATCGCTCTTTCAATCCTACGAAGCTTTAATGGCCTCTGTTTCTCTCACTATCTCTTCTCTCTCTATCCTATTTCTCTTCCTCTCTCTTCCCTAATATCCGCTTCAACTTCTCCACAAGTGTTGCGATCTTTAATACAGCGCGATTTAAGCTTTGCCAGCGCAACGGCAACTGTAATGTACCATCCATAGGCATCCCGGGCGTCAGAGGTTGTGTTTTTGCTCGGTATTTGATCGGTATTGCTAGATATTGTTTAGTAATAATGAGAATATCATTCTGTGAAAATTAATACCGAGCAATATAGAACAATACCGAGTTTTCTCAAAAAATACTGAGTTTTTCTAGCTCGGTATTGCTCGATATTGCTCGGTATTACTTCACATAATGATATTTCTTGTTATTATTGGTATTGCTCGGTATTTCCCGTTTTGTGCCTGCGATCTTAGTGCCGGCAGAACGTAGCTCTACGTACGTTCACCACCGACCTATACTAATAAGCAAATAAAAAGCACAATATATTTTAAATTTCGTAAATTATTTAATTGGGTAAAAACTAAATTTAGTAATTTACTTTTTAGTTCACAATATTGCATGTTAAATACAAAGTAAAATATGAATGAGTTGATGAAGACCTCATCTCCATCCTTATCATCATTGAGAACATTATCTCCGATGAGGTTGAATATGTCAATCAAGCCAGCCCCATTCGATGCCTTGAGAAAGTCGTCTAACTATAAGGCTAAGCTCACTTGTCTCCATCAGAGTGGTCTTATTCCATATGAGCCTATGCCAAGCTTAACCTTAACTATTCATCGATAGCATCACAAACTTCTATTTTATGTTGTATATTTATGATTTTTAGGAGTATGCAATTTTTTATTGATATATCATCAAAAAATAATCTTAATCGGGCACAAATCTCAAGGCAAAAATCATGTTGAAAACTTCAAAAAATAAATTGGAGATCATCTAAACTCATATTTAAGCAAACTTATAGTCAAACTGAATGTCTCAGAAATACGAACCCAACGACACCAAATTCGACACAATTTGAGCTCAATTTGGTCCAATCAAAGACCCGAAGCACATTTGGAAGGTTCAATTAACAATTTGGATTACCAAACAGTTTTCAAATGTAGCGTGCTTATAATCAAATCGAGCGGCTCAACGAGACGAATCCAACAAGCCCAAGATCGTCGAATTCCGATATCATTAGAGCCTTCAAATTCCTGATAAACGGTCCACGATCAAGAAATTATAAATAGATCCCTTATTTCCATTGAAAGGGGACCCAAGCAAGAAGAGAAGACAAGAAGAGAAGGAAGAAGAGAATGAAGAAGCTCCTCCTTGATCACCATCGGACTTTCATCCGACAGCTAACCGACGCTGGAATTAAGCAAGGAGGCAGAAGGGAAGGAGAAGGAAGAGACTCATCCTCGACCACCGCCGGAGTTCCTCCTGAACTCCAAGTGACGTCGGAGTTCCGCCCAAACTCCAAGTGGTGTCGGAGTTCCGTCCAACCTTCAAGTGACACCGAAGTTCATCCTGAACTCCACGTGAAGCAGGAGTTTTACCTAACCTTCAAGTGACACAGGAGTTCTGCTTGATCACCCAACATCGCCAAAATTCTGATATCTATTTGTAATTGAATTTCAACTCGAGAGTTGTAATATGATCATCCTTAATTTCACGAATGAGTCAGCCATTTATAACTTAAGCAAACACTAGTGGAATATTATCAATTGGGCATGACCCTGTGGTTTTTCCCCTTATAGAGTTTTCAACATAAAAATACTGGTGTTTTTTTTTTTTTCATTGTGTTTATGTGATGGATATTCGTACAATGCTGAGACAAAAATTTTCTAACTCTATCTCCGTGTATATTCTAGCCCGCAACATGCGCGCCGTCTGTGGGAAATATTATCCCATAATTCTAAGTGTTGCTTCAATGGCCAATAGGTATAAAAATTGTATCTTGGGAGCCTCTCGCTCCAACAACCATCAATCCAGGAATCAATATATAAATCATAGACGCCAATCATCTGCATCTTTTTATCATGGGGGGCAAAACGCTACTGGAGAAGGAACCTCAAGACCTTCCCTAGAGGAGTGAATCTGAAAGACTGAAGAATCTCAGAATGAGATTATTCAACTCCTACGAGAGACCCGGTAATCGGTGCTAGCACCATAGGAGGATATTCTTCTCCCTTGAGATTCACCACTACCTAAAGGTGTTTTAACTCGAACATCTTCATACAAAGATCCCTCTTCCTCTGCCAAGGAGGCATCTGCGATCACATCAAGATAATGAACTTTCTGACATAGCAAGTTCTATCGATCCTTCACACACAGGTTGGCAACCTCACATTCCTTCAGACCTCCTTGAAGACTTAGCCTGACCGCACGTTGCTGAGCTCCCTCGCAACACTATATATCATGAACTACGAAGATTGGTCTAAGAACAGTTCCTCGTATGAGGTGTAAGGCAACCTCTTCACCAGTGGGAATTTCAGAAGTCATTACCCCTGACTGAAGCCTTTCTTCAACACCCAATTCTGACATGATTCAAACTACTGAATATCGATTCATGCGATGGGACATATGACCCAAACAAGCATATCGATGATTATAGAACCATCATGCATATCCAGCTAGCTTCAGACACACTCATCTGCCAGGTTTTTCTTATTACCCTCAAAGGACAAGCTCGAATGTGATTTTATTCACTTCCAACCAGAAATGATCCCTACTTTCATTAAATTGGCCAAAGTATTCGTAGAAAAATTCGATGCCAATTGAAGAATTGTTAAGGATTTGTCTCGCTTATTTGAAATCCGCCAAAATGAAGGAGACTGGTTGAAGAAGTGTTTTTAATAATTTTTCACCGAGGCTCTGCAAATTCTAGGAGTAGATCTTGAATTGCTGAGAGGATTCTTTCTTGGAGGCCTCCATCATGTCCCTTTTTATTTAGCACTCATGTGAGATACAGTTCATTTATATGCCAACCTGGTCTATCATGTGGAGGCACAAATCTCTACATATGAAGTCATAAATATTCACAAAAGTAATTTGAGTAAACAAATGGAAGGCGTAAAAGTGCACCTAGGATACATAATTCATTCTCACAACGAAAGAAATAATTGAAGAATAATCTGCCTTCTAGGCCTCTATTGCCATGTCGAGAATCTTGGCAAGAGAAGAAGTATACTCCACTCAACACATCTCGAGCAAATGTGTTGATGGCCATTCAAAATTAAGATAATATGAAATGGCCAAATCCTTTGAAGCCGAATGCAGGAAATTAGGATCAATACTTTCATTTTCATCATAGTCATGGCCACACTACCGAAGTTGTAAGTAGCTCAAGGATGAAATTGAAAGGCTTATCTGTCAAGGTTATTTTCGATGGTTTATTCAAGTTCCACTTACCCAAGAGAAAGCTCGTCCCACTAGGGGAAAAAATCAACAACATAGAGATAACTGTTGAATAATCGTATAATAGTTGGAGAGATTGAGACCATTGCAGGAGGCCTTTATTATCTAATAAATTCTTTTTGGTTGTAGATGAAAAGCCGACACCAAAGAAGGCTCATATAGATCATTCTATCACTTTTAAGTATTCTAATTTGGAGGGAGTAAAAATCTCTCATTAAGATATGCTTGTGATTAATATGGGGATATATAACCTATGTGACAATATCAAAATAATTCTTATGGACAATGGAAGCTCTGTGGATGTCTTGTTCTACTCTACTTTTCTCAATATGAGTCTCACAAGAGAAAAGCTTCATCCTACTGAAGGTCTAATGTATGAGTTTGACAATAGACCTGTTCGAGCAGAGGGGACAATCAGTCTCTCAGTTATAATTGGAGAATTTCTCTAGCATACTATACACTCCATCCAGTTCATTGTAGTAAAGTCAAAATTGGCTTATAATATCTTTGGAAGGCCACTCCAGTTGATCTTTAGGATTATCGCCTTCATCCCTCACCTTAAGATGAAGTTCCTTACCCTGGTAGGAGTCAATGTAGTATGCAAAGATCAATAAATATCACAAACCTGCTATCTTAGACAGGTTAAACCATGTCCAAAAGTTATCCTGAGCATCAAGGACTTTTATCTCTGAAGCGAGAATATCCCTTAGAGAGCTTCTCCTGTAGAAAACCTCACTACTATATCCATATCGGAACATCCTTCAAGGACCGGGCAGATTGGATCCCTTCTCTCAAATAAAGAGAAGAAAAAATACGTAGAATCTCTATGAATGAATCAAGATATTTTTGCATGGAGTCCAGCAGATATATCTGGAATCGACCTTGAAGTGGTCGTGCACTCCCTCAAAGTCAACCATATGTCCAAGCTAGTGATCTAGAAGAAACAAAATTTTTGTGCCAGATCATCAGCAAGCATTCGAACAGGAAGTGGATAAGTTTTTGGAAGCTAGATTTGTATGGGAAGTGCACTACCCCACTTGGTTGGAAAATAGCGTCATGGTATGGAAGGCATGTGGAGCTTGAAGAATGTGTGTAGACTATACAGATCTCAATAAATCTTATCCAAAAGATAGCTATCCGCTTCCTCATATTGACTAGTTGGTCGATACCACCTTTGGACATCAGATGTTGAGTTTTATGGATGTCTACTATGACTATAATTAAATAAAGATGGAATCGTATATATATGACTTGGAACAGTGCTTCCATCTGCTACGACGCTATAACATGCGACTCAACCCTAACAAATATACTTTTAGAGTCGCCTCTAGAAAGTTCTTAAGATTTATGGGGGAAGAATCGAGGGAAATCCTAAGAAAATCAAGGTACTAAGGGACATGGTGCCCCCAAAGAATATCAAGGAAGTTCATATACTAAATAGAAGGATTGAATTGTTATCTCATTTCCTGACCCATTCAGGAAATAAATATATGCCCTTCCTCAAGATACTTAGAGGTTCTCGTAGCTTTGGATTCCAATATATTGATGAATACCAAGAAGCCTTCAAACAACTACAAAATTATTTGGTATCTCTGCCACTATTTTCTAAACCAACACCGGGAAAAGTTATATTTATATATGGTTTTTTTTGCCCAAACTATTAGTTCGATCTTAGTATGAGAAGAAAATGTTTGTATAAC